GCATTAATTGATATTTGATTTTATCTACCTTAGCTTAGTTATTTGATCGTGATTTCTTTATTGCCCTGAAATTCCTTATTTTTACCCTTTCATTACATTTCAGTGATCGTATTAGCAGGAAATTTGAATTTCCTAATCACTTTAAAATGTGTTATATAGCGAAATAAATTCTTTCGAATTATATTTCATATTATTTCTCTTCTTAACTTAATTAAAAAAGATGATAGACCTATTAGTTCGAACAATAAAAATTATCAGTTGTAAAATAGCAAAACAATTATTAAATTCTCTTTTTTAGAATGGAAATGCTTAAAGAATATGTAAAAAACTGTTGACATAGTTTTCCTTTTTAATTGATCTTCCCTAGTTTTTAATTTAAATTTAAATTTAGTTTTTTAAATAGAATTAATATGTGACAGATTTTTACAAGTCTTTGTCTTTATAAAAGTTAAATCATACATGAAATAAGGATTGAAAAGAACTGCTGTTCCAACAGGATATCTGCACGAAAGGTCATGGAAAGGTCAACAGCATTAAATATGCAGCACTGCATATTTCTGCTTCTTATTAAGAAACAATTAAAAAAATTCTTCCAGGAGTTTTTATCATTGCATTTCAAAGTTATTGGGAAATAATTTCGCATGAAATATATATATACCATAAGGTTCGCGTTTTATTTTAAAAGAAAGTGTTCATTAATTAATTAGATGTTATTCAATAAATATTTGCGAAATTTTGCAGCGTTTTAACGCATGCAATTTTGTTGCTTTTTTTCGTTGAACTTTGGCGGAAATGCTGCCAGTACCGGAAAAGCTGTCTTTTCATTTCAATTCTCTCTATTCATGCACAGATTTAAAAAAAGCTTTTGCAAACTACGGTAGTGTTTTTCTTCTTTTTTTTTTGTTCGATGATTCATCGCCGATATTTATAGCCAAAATATTAAAATGGTTGCTATCGTTGCTCTTCGAAGAAAAATTGCGGTATCGTTCAACTGAATTTTTTTATCGAATGTGTTTTTTACAAAATTGAAAAAAATTTTGCTACGATTGAAATCTATTTATATTTCTTTTACATATTTCTATAATATGTTTAAGATTTAAACAATATTTGCATAGGATTAAATTCTCTTCAGTTTTAATCATATTTATTCAATGTGTTATATTTGTGATTTAATCCTACAAATTATTAGGCCAATAAATGTATTTGTTGTTAATAGCCGATCGATTGACAATAAGAGTTCTCTTTATTTGTAAGTGCAATGTGAAAACGAAGAGAATTGATTTTCGCATACAAATGTCATTCATTTAATGGTTTATTTAAATCCGTTGACAGGTTAAATTACCAATGATTGATAGTTTAAAAAAAAAGGAAGATTGGACAAACAAGGTTTAAATATAAAAACTGTACCATAAGAAAGAGTGTAATCCTTTTTCTTTTGCTTCTTGCAAGTATTTCTTTCTCTAATTAACTTTAAAAAGTTTCAGAAAAAAAAAAATCCATTTGATTACTGTGAATTCCCGAACCTCTTCTGTACACTACAGAACTATCCAATCAATAGTAGCAACGTTTTGTAGTGTTATAAGCCAAGTACCAATAGATGACTAAGTAATTTACCAATTATTGTTACTTAGTAGTATGCGCATTACTGTTATTTAAGAGTATGCGTGAATAATTCATTAAGTATTGCGCTTATAGTATGCGCAGTATTTAATAAATTATTCGTTTTAACTCTGTAAAAATAATTAGGTTGAAAATCATGAGAATTAATCGCCAACTTATTTACTGTTTATTACATTTTATCAATGGTTTGCTCAATTCTATGAGACAATTAAATGTTTTCATAACTTCTTGTGAACATTGATGATTCATTAATTAATGCCTTTGTTTAAGGGAATTTGCAGTGAAATTATTAAATTCTAATTTAAAAAAAAACATTTCTTGATATTAATGCTTAAATACAATGCAAGAAGAAACACTAATAATATAGAATTCTCAGGAATGATTGTATTAGAGTATGTGTATTTTTCGCTTCTCGACTATTTTTCATCAGTGATAATTTCAATGTCAAACTTTAACGGATGTAAATATAATATCATTGTACTGACGAACTATTTCGTCATCAGTAATCAGATCAATTATGCAAATGATATGCATTAGGTGTCAAATACGTGAACTAAGCTAATTATGTAACTTATATTTATTAAAACTAATAGAAATATAAAGAAACGATTGAAGGAGTACTTTAATAAAGAGCAAATTTATCGTCATGAATTGACTTTCATATACTGCGCATTTATACCTAAATTTTAGCGCTTAATTGCCAAGACTAATGACTTAAATAAATGGATAAATAATATTTGTTGTTACAGAAGGAATTGATGAAATGGCTGAATTTTGAGTGAGTATTGATGTAAATGTCATCAATATTTACTGGAAATATTGCTTAAAAGAAATTTGAAATTAAATACAAAATGAAACAACGATTGAGTTGGCTAAATTCTATAGGGAAATATGGCATTTGAATGATTCAGTCAGTCATCGCAAGGAATTATTAGCATGAGCTAACTATAATATCGATAGCAGAAGTCAAAGTAGCCTACTGCTTATCGATGGTTCTAACAAGCCTAACTAAGCCTTCTTCTCTTTCTCGAAGAGGCAAATAAGTAAAGCAATCGTTTTTCAATCGTACAAATGAGTGAAATGAATGAATCATGTCTATGTAACGAGTGAATAGAATGAATGAGTTGGCAACATGTATTCATTCCTTGGGATCGATAGAGCTTGGCTCAACCATTAACTCAACTATAAGCCATGTTGTAATGCTTCCTACTTCATGTCCTTCGCTCAATTTTCATCTATCACTACGAGACAATGCCAATTAACATCCATATGTATTTTATTCATCTTGTGATTGCTATTATTTTTATTTCAACGGACAAAAGAAATCCGAAATGAAATTGATCTGGTAAGGTATTTCTCAAAAAATAAATCAATATACTTAGATATCACAAAAATATTTGATTTTGCAAAGCTTTTTTTCTTTGAGACAGAAATAATATCAAAATTACTACTGATGTTTCAAATTCTAAAAAATAAATAAATTTCAATTTCCAGGAATCACTCATTTTTTGAAAATCAATCCTAACTCTTGGTATTTTTTAATAACTCATCCATCTTTTCATTTTATTTTGCAACTTCCAAACAATTTATTCATTTTAATTGGCGCTAACAATTCTTCCACAATTCTTCCTCAATTTTTTTATTAGAACTTTTTAATATCATTTCAAATATTTTAGCGAAGCTGAGAGAATAGATTGAATTATCAGCGAGATTTTTTTATCACTTTAAAATTTCAATATCTCAATACACACAAAAAGTGTGTGTTGACAATGATAACATATCTTTAACAGCTTATCTTAAGATCACAGTTAAGAAACAATCTTGCCACAATCTCTGGACTTTTTATCAGCGAATTAAGGTTGAAACTGCTCATCTCAAATAAAACTTATAACGCAAACAGGTAAATGATATAAATTTTCGATCACAAATCTAACAATCGGATCATTTTGTTGATGAATCAATGAATTTTTGCATATTTTTGTTATTTGTTTTGCGCGTTCCAAATATTGTCAAAGTTTCGTACAGTTTGAAAATTTTTCAAATAATCCTCCTTTTGCTGTTGACATCATCATTAAATCATCATAACACCGGCACTTCACGATGAAAAATTGAGATGAAATAGAGATTGTAAGTATTGAAACTCGAAAGTAATGAGTACAGACATATAAACAAACATTTGAAAAAGGCTTAAATAACAGCTTTGATGTCATTGACGAAATGCCGATGGTTTGGCCTATCGATGTGCATCGATCGCTGACGAATCACAAACGCACAGAGCTTTTGTGTCTTATTTTTCATAATATTTATTTTGGTCTACTTTAAACTTCCTATAGTCAGTTGAAATTTGTTGATTCTGTCGAATCGAGAGTGCACTCCTTTTTTGTCCTCCCGAATTTTACTATTTTAATAATTATTGTCGGATTTTTTTAGAATTACTTCCATTGCTCAATGAGTTTTTTTATTTTAATGACTAAATGATCAATGACTTTTATTTCTGTAACTTTTTATGAAGAGAATTTTAATTGAAATTATTTCAATAATAATGGAAGAGATTATTTAGCATATTTTATTCATATACAACTGTTAAAAAAATTAATTTTTTTATCTTTTGTAAAAAAAAACAGACTAAAATATTTTAGTGTTCTGAATTACACAAATGTTGCATGATGAAATGTAAAAAAGAATGACTTGGTGATATCACTCCTTATCAGATAATGTTTGATATTTATGATGTACTTGTGTGGAGAAGTAAACAAGGTGATAGTCTGTTTTAGAGTTTAAAATATTGCTAACAGCTTTTTCCCAAACATTGTTGATTTTGGTTCCTGTATTCGATCAGATTAGATTTGGCATTGTTTTCGTTAGATGATATGGTCGTTACCTATTACTCGCTCCTGTCCATTCTCATTTTTCCTGCTCCAGTTATTAATGGTCATCGGTTTTGTTAACTTATCAAGTATGAATCAGTGATGGATGATTGTTGGTCATACGGATAATCAAAATGTGGTTTGTTCATATCATCTTCACCGTACTATTGGCTAAACCACTGCAACGAGCACAACTTTTTGTTACGGATGGTATTCCGGAAAAACTGAAAGCTGTGGTGATGTGCTTCAAACGAAAACTACGACGGTATAATTGTCGTTGTATTTCCTTCTTCGTCCAGAATTCATTTCTTCGACACATCTTGCAGTTTCATTTTGAAATATGCCCAACATGGAGCATACCGGAAACTAAATAAATATTTTTCATATCTTCATTAGTTAGATCTTAAGCTAGAATCAAAATATTTTGAAAGTAGATTGCATGATTTTATCATCAGACAAGTCCTAAGCCAAATCTTCCAGGCCCTACTTTTTTACAAAATATCTTCGCTGTCTTGGATTAAATTAATCGTTTTGAGGCTTGCTAACATCGCCACTCAATTCATTAATGTCTTAAGTTTTGAAAGAGGTTGAAATAACATTGTTGAGAGCTTTATAAAGGCTTAGCAGTTATTGAGGAATTATTCGGCACTTTGCGGAGGAAAAATAACTATCTGACAAGAGAAAATTTTGAAGAAAAAGCGAAACAAAATGTTGTTTAAATTTTAATGAGTAAATGATTGGTGATTTTTTTCATTAGAAGAAAATAAATGATTCGTAAGTTCGAAATAAATCTTTAAATCAAAAAATTTGGACTTTGGCATTAATCGAAATATTAAGAATAGTCATGCTGTCTGAATTTTTAATACTTTGCCATTTTCATTACAGCTTCGCTTATTTTCAAACAATTTTAGTCATAAAATAAGTCTCCCTATTTTCTGCGATATTCGTTTATTTAGCTGTCTAAAAAAATCGTAGATAGTTTCTATGTGATCGTCCTATGCACATACACACACATACACACAAATACACACACACAAATACACACACACAAATACACACACACACATACACACACATACACGCACACACACACGCACACACACATACACACACATACACGCACTCACACACATACACGCACTCACACACATACACACACAATACACACACATTATGTATATATCAGTCAAATCAAGCTTTAGATTTTTAAAATTTACTCTTTGATCCTCCGAACTTTTTAATTTTTAATAATATTTGATAAAAATGGATGAGATTTAACAAAAATTTGAGAAAAGAACATTACCGTATTTCCATCATGACAACATCAAATATTCCGATTGTTTTCAGGCTTAACCTTTAGACTAATATCATGATTAAAATCGTGATTTCATAAGAAGTAACCCTTTCATCGTCTGTTTTCAAGCAGTTGCATTACATTCATTCTCATTGCTGCTGCATCACTATTTTTTTCGTTAATTTCCCAATTTTTTTCGAAATTTCGGCAAAATTTTCAAAAAATTTCGATTTTTGCATGTTTTTCAGAAACAATCATTCTTTTAAATTATGTGATAAGGATTTTATTGCAAAGAAATGAAAGATAAAAAAAATTACTTAAACATATTTCAACAAGAAATGGCTATCCATATATTTATTCTTATTTTTTTAAACTTTCATAATTACATGTCATACAAATCAAAATTTTGAATTTTAGCACAGCAAAGAAAGGTACGAGAATTTCATCAGGTCTTCCACAACTAAAAGATCAGAGCAATTCCATTCCACCCCAAGATAAATTCGTATCTGATTATCATCAATCAGGAGTTGATATCAGTACGAATAGTTCAGATGACGCCATTTCTGCTTTAATCGTACATTCCACTGCTCATGGTTGGTTCATTCCGCTTTCTTTTTTCAAATTTTAATTTTCTTTAAATTATTATCCATTCAAATTCTCGCTAATAGTAGCCATTAACACTAATAATGTTAATTCGCTAATAATGATAATAATTTGCTGATAATTTTTTTGCAAATAATGCTAATAATAAATTACTGTCCATTAAATGCTTTTCTTTCTAGCTAAGAATTTAAATTATGTCAAAATTGTCAAAATATAGGTACGGAGTAAAAGAGTAGTGAATTATTTACTTGAAACTTTCACGGATTTTCATAATTGCTAGTAGCACAAATTTTCGAAAAAGATTTCAATTCAATAATATTTAAAAGTAATTGAATAATTTTTAAACTTTTTTATTCCATGTCAATTTATATTATAGTTTACTATAAATTTGTAAATCATAAAATAAACATGTATGAATGGATGGATCGATTCTTTGAGTTGTGAGAATAGAATGTCAATACCGCGGGGAAAAAAATTGGACCGGGAAACCTGTTTGGAGCAATAAAAATTGAATGCTTCAATGTGAAATAGAATTTGTCTACGGGAACAAAGATTAGTGTTTCGGGCAGCAACGATTGACACGATAGGGTGAATAGGTCGACAAACTGCGGCAGTCTCTCCTCCCTCATATCACTCAATAGGACAGGTGAGTTGAGAAGAGGGCCGGTGCCAATCTCTGATGCTCACTTTTCTACCGTTCAGAGAGAACAATGCTTCTCACTGCCATCATAATTTGTCAACATATTTTGCTTACGTAATTCACCGGAAAATGCCATGCTCATTTGAATCACAATTTTTGTCGAATGATTAGAATCATAAATATTATTAGTTCAAAATACTGAAAATTGATAAAGTGATCTGATCAGTGATTACGGTATTGTTAGGTTACTATGTTATAAGCTGAAAAATAATATGTTAATTCAGAAAGTTTAGTAAAGTTAGATGCTTTAAAGAAAAGTAATAGCGGTGATGATCGGAGGATGGAATTAAAAGGAGAAAAAGATAGGAGATTTCATACAGCGGTCTTTTCTCAGATATTCTTTAAATTGCAACTGATTTAATATTTGAACTCTTTCTTTCATATCAATCATATCTATTCGGCACTTTTTTCATTGTCAAAAATTTGCAATTATTATATTTGTCCAATTAATTATTTGTGCAGATTAATTTTAGATTTTAATATAGCAAACTTGATTCATTTTTCAATTACTCGTTTCCATTTTTTGAATCAGAATTTCGTTTTAATTGTTATGCTTTTTTTAATCATTGTTTGTTAGAAAATTTGTGATTATTCTTTCAGTCTGTAAAAACTTCTATTGATAATACTTCTTTTACAGGTTATGAAACAATGATTGTAAAGTCGAAGTTAACTCGGATGATGTCTGATGAAAATTTTGCAAGCTGTGATGTAAGTCAAAGTGCACCACCAACACCACTTCCGACACGTATTATTGCTAACAGCATTGTTGATAGCCGTAAGTTACGTTATATTTGTTGATAACGCCGATTTATTTGTTGTAGTTGTACATTTGACATTTGAACTTTCTCATTCCTAATCATTCTTGTTTGCGTTATCATTTGCTTTGCAATGAATATTATGTGATGATTAATTTGGAGTATTTAAATAACAAAGAATCGAAAAAAAATTCATAGGTTAATAATTCTATTAAGATCAAATTTGAATATTGTGTCTTTTATATGATCAAGCGGTTCCTGCAATGGTTATATTTCAAAAGGTTTATAAATGATAGAAGCATAAATAGCGCTCATTATTTCCATAAGGAATTTTTCCAACCATGATTTAGAAAGATTTAGTTATATATAACAGTTAATTCCTTATCATCTATAATTATTTTCATGCACTTAAATTTAAGAAAAAAAAATTAGAATTTTCAGAAATATCACTCAACAATACAACGACATCAGCGCCTGGTATAATATCCGCTGGAGTTAACAGTAATTTTCAGAATGTACCATCCAACAATATATCTACCATCGATAGTTTTTACAAAGGACTCTTTTCCTGTTTCAAACCAATGTGGACTTATTTCGGACGATCAGCCGAATCATTGTAAGCACACTCCACAATCTTTTATCATTTTTCTTCTTTCATTTCCCTGTAATATTATTATTTCAAGAAATTATTGTACTTGGTACTGTAGTATAATTCTTGTTGTTTTATTCCAGCATCTATATTTTGTTTTTTTGTTTGTTAAAATGAATTATTTGCTGGTTAATTTTAGATCAAATGGAATGAGTAAATCAACTACAAATTATTCGGATGATAATTGGGAAATACCATTTGAAACAATCACTCATTTGGAATGGCTTGGTTCAGGATCTCAGGGAGCTGTATTTAGTGGTCAACTGAATGATCGTTTAGTTGCGGTGAAAAAAGTGAAAGATAAATCGGAAACGGAAATTAAACATTTGCAGCATCTCAATCATGAAAATCTCATTAAATTCATGTAATTTTCATTCATTTCATTGTTATTTTCCTTTTTAACAAATGAATCAAACAATTTATATTGCTATGATGACTTATTTACTTGATCATTCTTATCATTCTTATCGAGAATTTTATTTTTCAAATTTCAAGACTTGCATTTTGAAATTCGTATTAAATTCCTACTCTATTAAAAAAGTTTAATCTGGAAAATTCGGTATGTAATTTTATGTTTAAAATGGAAAGTTTGATGATTTAGCTGGAAAATTTGATACATATATAATTTTATCGTTCAAAAATTATATATAAATGCTACGTTGCATCAGCTATACTTGTGAAAATAATACTGCCAAATGATAAAAGTAGATTAAACATTGAACGATAAGTAGGAAATGTTAAAGTATTGGATCTCAGATGGCAATTTACCATTTTATTTTCAGAGGCGTTTGTACTCAATCACCGTGTTTTTGCATAGTAATGGAATATTGTGGTCAGGGACAACTTTATGAAGTAATTCGTAGTGGTCATCACATTGTAAAAGATACATTCGGCGAATGGGCTCGTCAAATTGCTGATGGAATGAATTATTTGCATCAGAAACGTATCATACATCGCGATCTCAAATCGCCTAAGTAAGTTGTGGCATGTTTATGGCTACGCTTTAAAACCAATTAGATTTTTGAAATTCACTTTTTAGATTTATTATTATTATTATTTGCTTTTGAGAATTAGAATAGATTAGTTTGGTGAATTTAATTTAATTTTACTAATAAACAACAATTATTACATTTTTTAATGAATTCAAACAAAAAAATTCTTTTTTTTTTCAATGGATGAACTGATGCTAAAGATTTGATGATTTTCAGCATTTTGGTTGATAACAGTGATGTATTGAAAATTTGTGATTTTGGTACATCACATCAATGGGATAAGGAAAAAAGTATGGTGATGTCATTTTGTGGTACTGCCGCTTGGATGGCACCTGAAATTATTAAAAAAGAACCATGCTCTGAAAAAGTATCGAATTTTTGAAAAAATTGAATTGTGATTCTTAAAAACAATTTTATTTTAAATCTTACCAAATTTAATAGCGATAGTTTGACATCGTTTTCTAAGTTCTAAATCGGTCGTTTGCATCTTTCATTTCAATTGCACCTGAATTCTAAGCATCCAAGAAAAAAACAGGTCGATATTTGGAGCTTTGGTGTTGTGTTGTGGGAATTGCTGACACAAGAAATTCCATACAAAGATGTCGATTCAATGGCAATCATTTGGGGTGTTGGATCGAAGTAAGCTTTCGAATAGTTTTTAGGTGAATTGCTTTTTAGGCTTAATATTTTAGTATTTTGCATAAATCAGAACTTTATTTCAGTAATTTGAGCCTACCAATACCAGATACTGCCCCTGAAGGATTGAAATTGTTGCTGAGGCAGTGTTGGAGCATTAAACCCCAGAATCGTCCTTCTTTCTCGCAAATTTTAAAGCATATCGCAGTTTTCAAGGTAATATTTGAGCCGTCCTTTGGAAAAGTAAAACAATAGGATCAGAGAGTTGATGATAAGAAAAGGAAGATAGGAAGGAAGTTTGCTTTGAAGCACTGACAATTGGACGGAAAAACAGGAAGGAAAAAGTTTAAAGCACTTGAAAACTTGAAAAACCAGAAAACATTTGCTGAAATCATTGTATTTTAATTTAACAAGTATTTACCAAAATTCCGAGTTCTCTCTCAAAATCATTTCAAATTTCAATAAAAGTTTCATTTCAGTCTGAGATTGCAAATATTTCCGATAAACAATGGCTGGAAAAAAAGGCAGGCTGGAAAGCATACGTTATTCAATATATGAAAGGGATCCGACAAGAGAAAGCGATGGCGCAGAAGAAGGATGTGCTTAACGGTAAAATGTTATTCTTCTCTATGAAGCGAATCTAAGAACAATGGTTGATGATAATTTCCGTTTTTGCGCCTCTGTAGTAATAGATCTCAGGCGAACTTACGAATTCTACGAATGAGTTACTTTTTTGTTGAATATAAGAAATGAGTAGTTTTATAGATTGTTTTCTTTTTTTCAAATTTCAAATCAGTTTTAAATTCTATTTATTTTATAACTCTATTCACTTCGGCATCTACAAAACTGAAAATCTTATGTTAAAAAAAAAGCTTCATAATATTTAAAACTTTAGAATTAGAGATTTCCAGAACGTGAATTACTTCGAATGAGGCGTGAGGAATTAAAACATGCGCAGGATATTCGAGAAATGTACGAAGATAAGCTAAGACGAGCAACTAAAATTTATTCAAAATTGAAGCAATGTCTGGATGACTTGGTAGCGCGTGAACGGGTACAGTATATTTTTTCATATCTTTCCGATTTTATGTCAAGGATATCTTGTTAA